CTCAGAACCCTGAGAAAAGGAATCACATTATTCAGACTTCCCCAGAAGAACCAACGATGAGGCAGAAACGAACACGTAAAAGTGCCACATGCAGCCAATGTCTAAAGAGACTGTCTTATCCAATACAAACAAGGTCCCCAGCATCTCATCAGAACCTTTTTGTTATGCTCTTGCCTACTCAAGAGGTTCAGGGTGTCAGGATCAACTTCAGAGAAATGTTGGAAACTTGGAATTCTTTGCTATATTCCCTTCACTGCATCCCAGTTAGTTGTGTTAAAACGGCCATTAGATTTGCCTGTTCTAAAGCAAGTGCCAAAGTTGCTGTTTTTGCACAATTTTCTCATGGCATAAAGACCTCTTGCACCTCTCTTGAGTGATGTTCAGCTAAGGACCTCAAAGAAATATACAAACCTTAGTTAATTCAAAGCTATTAGAGAGCCATTCTTCATGGAGACTTTGGACCTTGCTCTCTATGCTCACCTTTTTGGTCAAATAGCCTTCTGGGAATGCTGCAAAAGTTTTGGGGGAGGTGTAAGGAGTAAGGTGATGCTTTGATTTACTGGTTGTGTTCCTGGTGCCATTAATTTGTAGGGCACCTAAAACTGTTTGTTACAGATATTTTTTAATAGCTGTCACCAGCTAGAGGAACAGTAATTCAGCTGTACAGCACTCCTGTGGGAATGTGAGAATATCATGATATCACTTTACAGTTGAGCAAAGTGACTTGCCTGTGATCATACACACAGTCAGCGGTGGACTTGGCAATAACCCACAGGAATCCTGGTGTCTAATTCTCCCACTCAACCCACCCTACAGCACTCTGCATTAGAGATCTGCTTGACTGAACAGGGAAGAACCTGAAAGCAGCTGGATCTCTGTGACAGGCTCACAGCTTCTATTCACCCTGTAAATCTAGCAGTTTGGGATTGATCCTTCTCCTCCCCTGGTCTCAGGCATTCAGAACAATAACACTGGCTAATTTCCCCAGCTGCACTGAAATCATGAATCAAAGCTAAGGCCAGGTCTACAATGGTGGGGAAAATCAATGTGAATTGTGTAGCTGGAGTTGATGTACTTGCACTGATTTTTCTGTGGTTGCCCCACAGGAGGAGGTAGATGAGAAAAATTGAATGCTGAGGGTGCTCCCATCAACTTCCCTTACTCCTCGTGACAGCAAGTTGTACTGGTGCTGATGGGGGCACCCTCAGCATCCGATTTAGCGGGTCTTTACTAGACCCACTAAATCGAACTGCAGAGGATCGGTCGTCAGAGCATCAATCCTCCGGCAAAAGGAAATGTGGCCTAAGTGACTGCTGTTGAGTTATCTCTATAGTGATGTGGGTGCTGTAAAGGGTTAGAAAGTCCAGTGTAGAGGCTCCAGATGAGATGCTTAACAGGCTGCTAATGGAGAAGGGAGTTAATCCTGAATAGGGCAAAGGAAAAAAGAGGAGCTTTTTTTGCTGAAGCTCTAGAGAAAGAAAAACAGGCTGCGGCACCTTAAGTTATATATTCTAGCTGTTCTTACCCTTTTCACCACCTTTGGTTCTTCTGCACTCTCAGTATTGGCAGGAACGGTTACAAATTCTGAAATCATAGGAGATGTTAGAGTACCGGGCCTGGACAATCATGCAGCATAGACCAAGCCCCATTTATTCAGTAGCTAGTTTGTCCTAAACTGGTACTGATGTTCAGGGTACAACCACCTCTCTAGGCTGGATGTCAGCTTGCAGCAGTGGTACAATAAGGCTTTTGCAAATGCTACCCTTCCTTTCCTTTCGACCAACTGTGCTGTGCCTGTGTTAAGTGCTAAGCAGCCCTGCACATAGTCAGGGAAGGCCCTAGATTTCTAGGGAAGAACAAACATTTTTGACGTTTCTTTTCAGAAGTTTTATTGTCCCTTTTCAAAGATGATAATCACTAGCTGCTCTGTGGCCCACACTCTCAGGGTATGTCTACAGTACAAAAAAGATCGAAGCTGCCGCTGTCGATCTTCCAGGGTTTGAATTAGCGGGTCTAGTGAAGACACGCTAATTTGAACTGAGAGGGGCACTCGAGTCAATGCCAATAGTCCTGCTTCCATAAGGAGTAAGGGAAGTCGAAGGGAGAGTGGTCTCCCTTTTACTTCCTGCAGTGCATACGGCACCAAAAGTCGAGTTAAGGTACTTCAACTTCAGCTACACAATTAACGTAGCTGAAGTTGCGTATCTTAATTTGACCTTACCCATAGTGTACATGTACCCTCAGTGTGGTGATCTAGGTGCTGGAACTTTTAGGCTTAGCATTCAAACAATAACCCCAACTATCAAAAAGAACTTATTTTAACCATTTCTTGCTAAGTTAGTGCTTGTGAAAGATGCTGAAGTCAGAAATCTGGAGACCAAGTCTTGATTGCTCCTGTTTGTGCTTTTACACACCCATAATGGGTGAGGCCATTGGTCCTTCTAGCCCAGTATCTTGTCTCTGGCTGGTGCCAGATGCCCTAGAGGGAATGAGCAGAACAGGGCAATTTCAAGTGATGCACGCTTCATTCAGTTCCAGTTATTGGCTGTTGGAGCTTTAAGAACACTGGGACTGCATCCTCGCCCATCTTGGCAAATAGCTGTTGATGTACCTCTATCCTTCATGAACTTTTCTATATTCTTTTTTAACCTAATTAAACTTCTGACTTGCACAACACCCAATGTCAACAAGTTCAAGAGGATAACTCTGTTGGGTGAAGCAGTTCTTCTTTCGGTTTGTTTTAGATCTGCTCATAATTTCACTAGAACTTACTTCTAGTGTGTTATATGAAGGGGAAAATAACACATACTTATTCAACAAGAGTGGTCCAAAGTATTCAAAGTGTAGGCCTCGCAAGCATTTGTCCAGGGGCATTATTTCTTTTTTACTATCTATACCTTTCCTAATGGTTCCTAGCATTCTGTTAGCTTTCTGTTGACTGCCACTATACATTGAGCAGATGTTTTCCGAGACTATTCACGATGACTCCAATGTCGTTCTTTAGTAGTAACAGTTAATTTATTTTGCTGTGTGTAAGTGAGATTATTTTTTCCAATGTGTACTACTTTGCATTTAACATTGTAAACCTTTCTCGGAGAATCTGTTTTGTATGTAGTACATCTTAGTCCACTGTAGAAACCATCCAGTTTGCTGTTGGTTGCTAGATACATTTTTAATATATATTTTGCTTTTCCACAAGAAAATAAGAAAAGATCCCAGCACCTACTCTATAGCCACCACCTCAGTTCAGAATCCTCTTGACATGTCCTGTTCCTTAGGTGAGTCATTGCTTTACCCCAAGATGTGCTACAAGTGGTAGAGTTTTAATATGCAACTTACCATCCACTCCCCCAATCTGCGTCTCCTGAGAATTATTTATGCCCGCATTCTCCTTCGCTCCCAGCTCTCGTGGATTGTCAAACTCGGACATGCTAATATTTGTTCTGTAGCTTCCAACCGAAACCAGCTCTGTTCAAGGGAGGAATGGAGCAGACATGTGCACACAACATTGTTTAATACAGTGGGTGCCTTTGTTTGATACTTTCAAGGAAAATACCTCACTATTGGCCATAAATTCTCCCTCCCTTATTTCACATACACATTTATTAGCACCAGATGATGACCTGCAAAAGATGCTGATGCTAAGACTGTAGCAGTCGGGTATTTATCTGAGCCTCACTGATATAGAAACCAGGCTAGCTGTGTAAAAAGAACAGTCTTCCTTCAAGCTTTCTGCTATGGCCTGATTTTGAGAGAGACGCGTCTGGAGAGCTGAGCACAGGTCAGGAGGAGCAAACGTGCGAATGCCAGGAAAGACACCACTCCCTTTGCAGCCTCATTTACCATGTCTGTACAATGGGTGTGAAAATCCTCACCTTACCACTGCCTCATGGAGGGGCGGGTAGGTCAATTCGCTAAACATAAAGTGCTGTGAAGCACAATGCTATTACTGAAGCCAGGTCATAAATATTATACCTTGCCAACCATTTCTTTTTATACGGAGTGGCTTTGTTCTGGGGTTAAAGAGTGGGATACTGTTCCCCACTGTTTCTATATGAGTGCTCTGATGGGGCGGGGGGCTCACAGGACCCACTCAAACAGGTACCAAGAGCATTGTTCATGTCACATGCCCGCTACCCCGAAATCTCCAGTATTTCCAAAGCTCTCTGGGAGGCTAATAAAGTAAGTTGTTAGGACTCACCTGTGCGCTTCAGGAGCTTGAATTTAACAACAACAAAGACTGTACCAAGGAGTAGACACACAACAGCAATGGGGATCAGGACTGAGAGAATCACCTTAGAGTTGTCATGTTCCTGCGAGCTGGAAAAGGAGCAAATGTGTAGTACTCTTGTATGTTCATGTGACTTTATACTGATCTATACAAGACTGAATCACCTAGGAGATCCGGTATACAGTAGAAAATCTATATAGAAACGTGCACAACAATGGACACAGAAATGCCCAACATGGAATTGCCAAACCTGCACCGTCCTTTGTGGAAGATGAATCTGAGGAACTGTCCTGGATTGAAGTGTCATTAGAGGAGGTTTTGGAACAAATAGAAAAACTTAACATTAACAAATCTCCAGGACCGGATGGCATTCACCTAAGGGTTCTAAAAGAACTCAAATGGGAAAATGCAGAACTGTTAAATGTGGCTTGTAATCTATGCTTTAAATTGGCTTCCATACCTACTGACTAGGGGAGATCTAATGTGACACCAATATTTAAAAAGGGCTCTAGTGGTGATCCTGGCAATTATAGATCAGTAAGTCTAACATCGGTACCAGGCAAATTAAAAGAAACAATAGTTAAGAATAAAATTGTTAGGCACGTAGAAGAACATAATGTGTTGGGCAAAAGTCAACATGGTTTCTGTAAAGGGAAATCATGTCTTACTAATCTAGTAGAGTTCTTTGAAGGGGTTAACAAACATGTGGACAAGGGGGATCCAGTAGATATAGTATACTTAGATTTTCAGAAAGCCTTTGACAAAGTCCCTCACCAAAGGCTCTTGTGTAAATTACATTGTCATGGGATAAGAGGTAAGGTCCTTTTTTGGATTGAGAACTGGTTAAAAGTCAGGAAACAAAGGGTAGGAATAAATGATAAATTTTCAGAATTGAGAGGGGTAACTAGTGGTGTCCTTTAGGGTCAGTCCTGGGACCAATCCTATTCAACTTATTCATAAATGATCTAGAGAAAGGGGCAAGCAGTGAGGTAGTAAAGTTTGTGGATGATACAAAACTGTTCAAGATAGTCAAGACAGAAGCAGACTGTAAAGAACTTCAAAAAGATCTCACAAAACTGAGTGATTGGGCAACAAAATGGCAAATGAAATTTAATGTGGATAAGTGTAAAGTAATGCACATTGGAAAAAATAACCCCAACTATACATATAGTATGATGGGGGTTAATTTGGCTACAACAAATCAGGAAAAAGATCTTGGCGTTATCGTGGATAGTTCTCTGAAAACGTCCACACAGTGTGCTGCGGTGGTCAAAAAGGCAAATAGAGTGTTAGGAATTATTAAGAAAGAGAAAGAAAATAAGACACAGAATATCTTACTGCCCCTGTATAAAACTATGGTACGCCCACATCTTGAGTACTGTGTACAGATGTGGTCTCCTTACCTCAAAAAAGATATTTTTGCCTTGGAAAGGGTTCAGAAAAGGGCAACTAAAATGATAAGGGGTTTGGAGCAGGTCCCATATGAAGAGAAGCTAAAGCGACTGGGACTTTTCAGTTTGGAAAAGAGGAGACTGAGGGGGGATATGATAGAGGTATATAAAATCATGAGTGGTGTGGAGAGGGTGAATAAAGAAAAGTTATTCATTAGTTCCCATAATATAAGGACTAGAGGACACCAAATGAAATTAATGAGTAGCAGGTTTAAAACTAATAAGCGGAAGTTCTTCTTCACACAGTGCACAGTCAACCTGTGGAACTCCTTGCGAGAGGAGGCTGTGAAGGCTAGAATTATAACCGAGTTTAAAGAGAAGCCAGATAAATTCATGGACGTTAGGTCCATAAAAGGTTATTAGCGAGGGGATAGAAATGGTGTCCCTGGCCTCTGTTTGTCAGAGGCTGGAGATGGACGGCACGAGACAAATCTCTTGATCATTGTCTTCGGTCCACCCCCTCCGGATCCCTTGGTGCTGGCCACTGTCGGCAGACAGGCTACTGGTCTGGATGGACCTTTGGTCTGACCCAGTACGGCCATTCTTATGTTCTTATGGAAAAATCATAGATTGCCAAAGTTCAGAATTGAGTGGGATTGTTTTTAAGAACAAAATCATTGCATTCACATAATTCTATTCATTTAGAGAAGTCAGAGCTATTCATAAACAATTGATAAATTATCTCAACATCCCAGTGAGGCAAATATTTTTATCCCTGTTTTGCAGATGGGGTAATTGAGACACTTAGGGCAAATAGGCTTCCCCCAATCCCAAACGGAAGGAGCATCACAGCTAAGAATAGGATCCTAGGTTTCTGTGTTGTTCTAGCCACTAGAACATGTTGCAATGTTTCTACCAACAGAAGCCTCTGACAAATCAGTATTTGCCAAATGGCATTAAGAGAAATGATGGACGGAAGTAAAAAAGTTGAAGTGCAGAGTGGATTCTGGGTTAGGATGATTACTGTGACAAAGCTCCTAATTTCTCAAAATGGGTCCTGCACTTCTGGGTATAGAATCATAGAGCTGGAAGAGACCTCACAAGGTCATCAAGTCTAGCTCCCTGCCCAAAGCAGGACCAATCCCAACTAAATCAACCCAGCCAGGGCTTGATGTAAAAACCTCTAGGGATGGAGATTCCACCACCTCCCTAGGGAGCCCATTCCAGTACTTCACCACCCTCCTAGGGAAATAGTTTCTCCTCATATCCAAGCTAGACCTCCCCCACTGTAACTTCAGACCATTGCTGCTTGTTCTGCATCCGTCACTACTGAGAACAGCCTCTCTCCTTCCTTTTCAACCACCCTTCAGGAAGTTGAAGGCTGCTATTAAATCCCCCCTCACTCTTCTCTACTGCAGACTAAACAAACCCAAATCTCTTAGCCTCTCCTCATAGGGCATGCACTCCAGCCCCCTAATCATTTTGGTCACCCTCCGCTGGACCCTCTCCAATGTATCCACATCCTGTCTATAATGGGGGGCCTGGAACTGGACACAGTACTCCAGATGTGGCCTCACCAGAGCTGAATAAAGGGGAATAATCACTTCTCTAGATCTGCTGGCAATGCTCCTCCTAATGCAACCTAATATGCCATTAGCCTTCTTGGGCTACAAGGACACACTGTTGATTCCTATCCAGCTTCTTATCCACTGTAATCCCCAGGTCCTTTTCTGCTACTTAGCCAGTCAGTTCCCAGCCTGTAACAATGCTCGGTATTCTTCTGTCCCAAGTACAGGACTCTACACTTGCATTGAGGTAGCAGTAGGCTAAATATTATCTTTCCCCTTCTGGGGAAAACAGCAGCTCCTGATCTAATTGCTCACCTCGGTGGCTCTCTATAGCGCTCAGCCTAGTCTACATTGTCATGTTTTGTCACCAAAAACTGCCTTCCGGTGACAGAAAAGGGAGAATGTTTACACTGTAATGCAACTTTTGTCAGGAAAAACACCTGGTTTTGGTGACACAAAACCTCCACCCGTGCCAGAGTCTTTTTGCTTTTCTCCTCCCTTTATTGTTGACAAAGAGCCAGTGTAGATCTGTTGTTTGTTTTGTCGGGAGAAAATATGAACTGGCTTCTGCCAGTATCTCACAATGCCTGCCCTGATGGCCGTGCTCAGCGTATTGTGATCTCTGCTGCCCTGTAGGCATGTGCCCCTCCCCTTTCAAAGCTCTGTTTGTGGAACAAACAAAGAACAAATCATTGGACTGCTTCTTTTCTTCCCTGCTAGGAACACTGTGGCAGGCAGGCTGCTGCTGCAGGAGGAGGGCTGGAGAGACTCCTGTGCTGCTGTGACATTCCTTAGCACGAAGAGCTCACAGTGCGATGAGGGAATCCTAAGAAGAGCAGGGATCAGTTCTGCCTTCCCACAGCACTGCACTGTGGGACACTCACTCACCTTGCTTTGCTCTATTTGTTAACAGGGTGCTAGTGAGGTGTCCGTGAAATGTTGACAGTAGGACGTAGAAAAATCAGTTTGATCAATTTTTCACTTTTGGCCACTTTTGCATGTTGACAGCACTTTTGTCGCCAAACCTTCCTAATGTAGACAAAGCCTAACTCCTTTACTTCAGGGGCAAGCCATGGTCTGATTTATTCACTCTCATTATTGGCAGAGCAGGGGGAGAAATCTTTTAGTCTCTAATGGTCTCTCCAGATGTGGAGACAACAGACTAGATTTTTTTAACTCAGTTTCTCCCTGTCTAGCAGGGGTTTACCTCCTTCAAACTTCTGGGATCCGAAGTGGTTGTTCCCTAGCAGGGCCTTCACCTCTGTACCTACAGGGATCCTCGCAGTACCTGACAGCATCTCTACAGTTCCTGCTCTCCTGTAGTACATCCTCCTCTCACCTTGCTTGGCACCCCATCAAACTGACTACAGGGAAGGCTTTTAATCAGTTCCAGCTGGTCCTTGTTTGGCTCCAGGTGTTCAAATCAAACCTAACTGTCTCAACTGGTTCTAGCAGGTTCTTGATTGACTCCAGCTGTCTTAGTTAAACTGGGGTCACCTTGTTTGATTTCCAGGGAAACAGGGACTTGTTTAACCCAGGACAAATATACCTGCTTTTTGTTACTTTCTTGTAGTCCTCTACCCTCAGTCAGTCACATTATCCAAAGCTGATCCACAACTTTGATATGGACCAAAATTGGCTGGGAAAACATGACCTCTGACCATATGTAGTATTCAATGGAATTGAACATAGATCAGAATACACAAGAACCATACAAGTGAATTAAGTTGTAAAAAAGGACAGAGGTTGAATGAGGCAGGGGAACTCTTGCTTTTTTCCAAAACACTTTGGAACAAAGTTTTCAACAGACTGACCTTGGTGAAGAACTGTCAGCTGGGAAGTCAGCTCTTTTTCCAGAACCACTGTTTGAAATATCAGGTTCTTCATAGTCTGCATTGCGAGGGATGGTACCTTTAGTTCCGAACAAGTTGTAGACGGGAATGGGTTATTTGGGTCCAGCATCACAGCAGAGAGGCACAGAGAGAAAAACAAATATATTGTCAGCATCTGATTCTTAGGTAAGTCAATTTTCAAAAGCACCAAAGTCTCTTTTTCAAAATGTTCTAATTGATTTTCAGTGGGACTTTGGCTCCTAGTGTCTTTTTTAAAGGGGAGTCTTTGTCAAAATACCTTGTCAGAAAATCTTGAGTGATCTTTTGAGCCATGTATTTTAAAAAAAACCCATTGTTTATAATCCCTACCTATATAACTAGTACACTCCAGAATATGGCTCACTATTTGATTTGCTTCTCCCCATTTATCAGGCATGTTACTTTTTGCAAATCACTCATACAGGATGTGCTTCCCTTTCATTTCTAGCCACTGGCTCTTCCTGGTTCTCATGCATTAGTTAACACAATGATATTGGGTTTATGTTTCCAACACCACATGCTTGTGTTTGCCCCCAGCTTCCTCTGAGCCCCTATCCCAAGAAAGATTTTGAGATGGAGTGGAGAAATAGTTCCTCATCTGTAAAAGAGTTTAACAGTCTTTTGTTTCTTGCTCCCTGTATTTTTATCTACATAGACCAGAGGTGGGCAAATACTGGCCTCCAGGACAGATTCAGTTTCCCAGGGTTGTCCTCTGTAGGGCTGCTACCACTATATTTATCTGAGCCTCTACCGGTACAATTGATTGCCACTCCCATTGTTCTGTGGATCGCCTTTCCCAATGGGAGTTGCTGGAAGTTGTGCAGCGTGAGACACCACTTCCTGCAGCTCCAATTGGCTGGGAATAGTGATCCGTGGCCAATGGGATCTGCAGTCGCCTGTACTTGCAGAGGCACAGGTAAATATAGGAGTGGTGGCCTGCTGGGCACAAACACTGGTGGACCACTACCGTTGTATTGCCCACCCTGCTATAGACTGTTAGCTTTTTGTGGCAGGTATGTCCTGTTCTGCCCTGCTAGGAACACAGCAGCAGGCTGCTGCTGCAGGAGGAGGGCTGGAGAGACGGCTGTGCTGCTTTGATATTCCTCAGCTTAAGGTCAGTGCGCCATTAAATATCCTCCTGCCCCCGCCAGACATGGCAGGGGAAGAATGTTCCCACCGGCCTCCTGTCTGAGAAAAACAGAAAATACCGGACTTTACATGTCCGGTATTTCTGGATTTTTTTTACCGGACAGAGGCAGCGAAAACTGGATTGTCTGGGCAAAAATCGGACACCTGGCAACCCTAAGCATGGCAGGATCCAGGTTCTGGTCAAGCAGTCTCAGGGTGTGTCTAGACTACATCCCTCTTTTGACAAAGGGATGTAAATTAGATGCTTCGAAATTGCAAATGAAACCGGGATTTGAATTTCCTCTGCTTCATTTGCATATTTGTGTCATGGCGCTCTTTCGAAAAAGCGCTCTTTTGAAAGTGAAACCGCAGTCTAGATGCAGTTCTTTCGAAAATAGAAGCCTTTTTCGAAAGATCCTGTAAACCTCATTTTTTGAGGAGTAAGGGATCTTTCAAAAAAGGCTTTTCTTTTTGAAAAAAACCGTGTCTAGACCGCGGGTTTACTTTCGAAATAGCGCTTTTCAAAAAACCCTGCCATGCACGAATGTGCAAATGAAGCGTGGGAAATTCAAATCCCAGCTTCATTTGCAATTTCAAAGTGTCTAATTTACATCCCTCTGTCGAAAGAGGTCTAGACGTACCCTCAGTGCTGCTGTAATACAAATAATAACATCTAGGGGGCTGCAATGCAAAATATTGGGGCAGGCTCCATTCTTTTTACTGGCTAGTAACCGAGATTGGAAAATGGAAGAATGCTGTGACCCATGTGTGAATGAAAGTTAGGGATACATGTTGTGAATACAGTGAGAGCCTTAGTGAAACAGGAAGTGTCTGTCCTAGACAAAGAGCTGGACGATGTTCTGAAAGGCCACCACTTAGTTGAGGTTCAGAGTAGTTTCTCTCAATGAAATGACACCATTTTGGGTGAGCATTGTGACAGCAGAGAAAACCTGGCCTGTTTTTGCCCTGTGGTAAATTCTTAGGCTCACCTCCATTTACTCTCAGGAACACGGCCATGGTTTCTCCATAGTGACCCGAATGGCTCACTCCACACCAATACCACCCTTGGTTCGTCTGTGTGACTTGGTTAAAAGTTAAGTAGAGTGTCTTATTCTCCTCGTCACAGTTGACAGCCGGGCTGGTTTGGTTTTGCTCATAGGAGACGAGAGGTTTGCAGCCCCTATTATTCCACTTGCACCAATATTTCTGGTAAGAATAATATTTGCACGGGTAAGAGCATGACAAAGTGACCCGTGTACCAATGACAGCATTAACCTCTTTCAGTCCTGTTAAGCCTGGTTGTCCTGTTTAGAAGGGGGGGAAAAAATCAATGAGGCGTCTGTTAATGATCTGAACAATTAAAATGCAGAAGTATCCCCAATATGAGCACGGTGTTAGTAATTATAAATTCCTATTATGTAACTACATGGCATAGAATGTATCTATGATGGTAAACTTACCTTATGTTGCTATCATGCACCTATATGGTATATTTAAATGTTATGCAAACATATCTCCCTATGTGCCTATGTGACATTTTAAATAAATCATGTGTCAGAAAAGCTTTAAAATGTTTGGTGGAAAATTAGTGAAAACTTTCAGCTCCTTCCTCCCCCAATTTCAAACATAGTCCAAAAACGTTTCTGTGGAATTCTTGTACTTTTGAAAATCTTCCACCAGCTCTAATTTGTGCCTTGCAATATTACATGTTGCCCATTGAGATGATGAAGCTATGAATTAGAAAATAGTTCTCCATAGGAAAACAAGGCTCTGCTCTATGCTGCTGCTTTAGGAGGAACAAAAATAAAGTACACACATCACTTGTGCTGGAAGAGACACTAATCTCTACCCAGGTTTTCATACCATCAATAATCTTCAGCTCCTTTGAAGATTTCCTTTCTACATCTCCATCTGTCATACACCAGTAATATCCTGCATCCTCTGCTACTAGCTGGTTCATTATTATAGTGAAGGTTCCATTTTTCGGGTTATCATGCATGACTATCCTTCCTTCGTATGAATCTATCATCATGATAAGGTTGGTTATTAATTGAGTGCACCCATTCTTTCTCCATTTGCACAAGTACTTAAGTGTGTAATTCCGACGTGGATCATAGCGGCATTCGACAGATACTGAACCTCCGATAACTCCATTGATTGTGTGTCGTCCCTGGGGCACAGCTGTCTCTGGAGATACAAAAGGGGACATGTGCTGTTAGGCTCCTCTGGTGCATTGCGTGCTAGGCTCATGTGCACGCAGCATGTGCTTTGTGTGGTTGTGCGGATGGATCTGATCCTTGTAAAAACATTTTAAAGTAAATTGCAGGGATGCAATGTAACAGACTGCTAGCCTGCTGTAGAATCTTTCCCCTGACTTCTGTGGTCCATATGTCTCAATCCTGAATAGGAGGAACTGCCCCTTCCCCCAGAAGCCAGCAACTTAGCTTTTTTGGGAACAAGAGGAGCATTTCCAGCAGATCTAGGGAAGTGATTATACCCCTTTATTCAGCAGCACTGGTCCAATTCTGGGCCTCCCATCACAGAAAGGATGTGGACACATTGGCGAGAGTCCAGCAGAGGGCAATGAAAATGATTAGTGAGCTGGAGCATATGACCTCTGAGGAGAGGCTGATGAATTTGGGCATATTTAGTCAACAGAAGAGAAGAGTGAGGGGGGATTTGATAGCAGCCTTCAACTACCTGAAGGGGGGTTCCAAAGAAGATGGAGAGAGGCTGTTCTTAGTGGTGGCAGATGACAGAACAAGGAGCAAAGGTCTCAAGTTACAGTGGGAGAGGTTAGTTGGGATATTACGAAAACCTATTTCCCTAGGAGGGTGGGGAAGCCCTGGGATGGGTTCCCTAAGGAGGGGATGGAAATCACCATCCATAGAAATGTTTAAGTCTCGGCTTGACACAGCCCTGGCTGGGATGATTTAGTTGGGATTTTCCTGCTGTTAGTAGGGGGTTGGATTCAATGACCTCCTGAGGTCTCTGCCAACCCTGGGTCAGGAGAGCCAGCAAGGACACCAACTATAATGGGTGTTTCCTTGTTTAAGGTTTAACATGATTGGTTCATGCAAAGTTTTGGTGTCCCCTTCATTTGGAATCAGTGGAGAAACCTAGACACAAAGGCATGACATCGCTCCAAACAATGTCTCCGCCAAAGGTCAGAGAATCTACACACAGAGTGGAACAGTAATGGCCACAGGCGCCTCAAAAGGAACAGCAGCCATTAAGGGCAAGTCTACACAACAAGCTTTTACTCCACTTTGGCAAGAGGCATAAGCTGTGTCAGTGGGAGAGCAGCACCTGCAGACATACTGCTGGGGTGTACAGTGAGTGCATCACTTGAGCGGGGGGGAGATTTTCATACCCCTGAGAATTGTAAGTTAGATCACCTTAAGCAGTAGTATACACCTGCCCTAAATCTGTTAGCAAATCCACCTTCGCATAGAAATACCTTTGGCTTATTGCTCATAACATCTGCTTTTTGCCCTTTTACTTTGCAAACTAATCCAGAATGAAGCAACAATGTTAATTTGCAGCAGACTGATTATTCTATTTGAATATGCCGTCGTGTCCCTAAGAAAGTGGTGGTAACTCCATCCTGCGAGATGTTTAAAACTAGACTGGAGAATTGATGGTAGGGAGCTATTCTGGGATAGCTGAGGGGCCAAACTGTATGGGCTCCAACAGATCTTTCCCTTTTCTAAAATCTATACAGTTGAACCTCTCTCGTCCAGCATTCTCTGGTCTGGCAAGTTCCGTGGTCCGGCATGATTTGAGTTAGCCAGATGTTCACTTATGGGTGTGGCCAACTTTCCCACGGTACTATAACAGTTGTTTACAGTCATCAATCCTAGCTCTCAGTGTTCTGTGCTGTTATTTAGCTCTAATTTACCCCTTCTCAGAGCCCAGAAAGCAATGGAAGTGTTGGCAATGCTGCTAGACAATGTTGACCTCCTGTGGTTTGGCAAATTCTCTGGTTCTGCACCAGTCAGGACCCAAGGTTGCTGGACTAGAGAGATTCAACCTGTAGTTATTTCTCTTCCTATTGGAACAAAGTTTGTAAAAAATTACTTAGGCAGGCAGCATGTCTAGTGGTCAGGAAAATGTCTGGGATTTTTTCATCTGTAGTCTGCATTTAAGATACGCTGTTAAGTGGATCAAGCAATAGTTTCCTCATCCCAAGTCTGAAAAGAGAACTGGCCGTTTGCAAGTATCATCATCAGGGCTCGACCATTTAGGTAATCTACTTATCACAGGCGAGTAGATTATAGCCCGGCACGGCGCCGCAGCGCAATCAGCGCATGCGCAGTGTGGTCTGTGAATGCACAGCATGCTGAACCACGTGGATGGTGAGCAGGGCTCACCGCGGCTTGGCGAGCCCTGAACATCATGAACAAAAGGCTAGTTCTCAGGCAGGATTATAGCGTGTCACTGTGGCCTGCTAATGGAATTACACCTTCAACTCCTAGGATAGCTTCTCTGATGAAAGCTCAAGTTTAAAACCCTGCTGACAACACACAGTGGAGATAGCAACATTGAGTCTTTGGGAAAGGGACTTTGTCTTCTTATGTATATATTGATAAATATATATATTGATAATTTATTTATATATATTCTTATTTATATATTGATATTTAAGAGCAGGTTAGACAGACTTCTATCAGGGATGGTCTGGACCAGTGTTTCTTAAACTGTGTTCTGCGGCACAGCGGTGTGACGTGGAGAAGAACAGAATTCAAAATGGCCACCCTTAAAGGGGCAGGCAACTTTTTTTCCCCTCAATAACTTTCCCCCTGACCCTTCCCCCCCCCCCTTTATTTTGGTTCAACAAAAAATCCTTGGTGTTCCTCGTAAAAAAAAATTGTTAGGTGTTCCTCAGTCTTAAAAAGTTTAAGAAACACTGGTCTAGATGGTATTTTGGACTGCTGTGAGGGCAGGGGACTGGATTTGATGACCTCTCAAGGTCCCTTCCAGTTCTAGTATTCTATGATTCTGTGATTTGTCTGTGACAGACATATGACATTATTGGTAAATGAAAAAAACATAAAGGAATAATAAGTACAATGCTTATACTCTTATCTTTAACTAGAGAGAATCAGTAGGGTTCTCAAGGGAAACTCAGACCCACAGGAAATTAAACATTAGACTATTGGAATGTCTGAAATCCACACACCCTGCCCATTGCTCACCTTGGTAAACATGCATATCCAGTTCCTTGGATTCTCCTGTCTCCCCATATTCTCCAACTCCGCACAAATATAAACCTGAATCTTCCTTCCTCAGCTGGGTCATGTAGATGACGAATGACCCAGGAGTCTCCTGAGGACTTAGCAAAGCTCGCCCTTTGTAGGTTGGGTTAACGTTCCCGTAGGTGTCGATGACCGTAGAGCAGCCGGTTTTCCCCATTTTGCACAGATACTTCCTGACACTAGCATACTGCGTGCCAAATACGCAATTCATGGTTACAGAACCTCCCAGCTCTTTGTAATAGAGTTCAGCTCCTTCGGGCACTTTTGGACCTGTGTAAATGATAGGCCAAGTCAGTATCCAGAACCCAGACTGTACTGCAGTTTACCACACTCTTCTATACCATGCTCTCTTGCACTGCAGCAATCAGACTTCTCTATACTACTCCAGATTGTACTATAGCCTACTCCAGTTTAGTATATCCTGCTCAACCATAGCTCTAGACACCTTTACCATACTCTTCAACCCTGCGTCATTGTGTACTAAGCCACCCCACATGCACTGCACTGTAGGATATCTTTGATGCAACACATTACTGCACATAGCATCATATACTTCTGCCTTATGTCACATGGCACTGTTTGCTGTACTGTTCGGTACTGTGTTAGGCTGCCATGCATGACTGCATATGGTGGTATAAATTACACACCACTTTTATTTTGACTGAGTAAACACCTTCCATTTAGGAGAGTAGATACATCAAGGACTGGTGGAGAATTTTGGCTGCCTTGAATCTATGTACATCTCCTTTTTTTTTTTTTTTTTATGGTACCTTTATACAACCATGATAGGAGCACTAGAAATGCAGAAAGCTCTTTGGGTATGTCTACACGGCAAAGTAATTTCGAAATAACTTTCCTAGCATCTACACAAGCCAACTGCTATTTCAAAACTAATTCGAAATAGTGGAACGCTTATTTCAAAATTGGTAAACCTCATTCCACGAGGAATAGCGCCAGTTTTGAAATTGCTATTTCAAAATAAGCGCTGTGTAGACGCTTGTTTCGAAATAGGGGGCCTCCTGCTTGCTGCCCTGGCCACAAGATAACTTCTGACCTGATGCCTTGCCAGAACCAGTTTCAGCTGGCCTTAAATGCGATTCAGCGTCCAATCAGTGTGGATGTGCTATTTTGAAATAGCAAAAAGCTATTTCGAAATGCATTTTGTGTGTGGACATGTTATTTCAAAATAAGATATTTAGATATTTCAAAATAACGCTGTAGTGTAGACATACCCTTGGTTATTACTAAAGGCACCAATCCCCTTGCTCTCTTGGATGTTGTCAGTTGGGTAGATTTCCCAATCTCAAATACACTTATTACAAAAGACAATAAGATAGGAAGCCCCCAGGTGGTAACTACCCTGGGAAACATCCAGCTTGACTTCGAAGGAGAGTCCTCTATCATTGAGACCAATGCCACATTTATAAAAGCCGATGTCCTTTAGCCCTAGCTTCGAGAGCTCCATGATGAAGATGCCTTGCTCTGGGAAGTCGGTGATGGTCGCTCTGCCAGCGAAATCTTGAGCAATGTAGCCATTGGACGAAATTACGGTTGCACACTGCCGTGTTGATTCCTTGCACCAATATTTTCTGTCATGTCGGTTCACGTTGGTGCGAGGGTAGAAGCATTTCACAGTAACTGATCCTCCCAGCAAACCGGTCACCTGTCTGGGTCCGAATATGGAACTTGAACTTGAAACTGGCAAGGGGAAACATATTTCATGTTATTCACCACAATTCAAGTGATTACCACATGAGCATCTTCAGGCCCCAATTGAAATCAGGACTTCAGTGAGCCAGGCGTAGCTACAAACAAATAGTGTGAGACAGTCCCTGTCCCCAAAGAATTTTCAGTCAAAGTAGCCAGGACAAACAAAATAAAAATCAAATGACTTGCCACAGGTCACACGAGAACTCTAAAAGAGAGCCAAAAATTAATCTCTTGTGTCACAGTCTAGTGCCTTAACCCCCAGGCTCACTTTGTTTCAGAAAGTGCTCTGAAATGTCTGTGGTAATGTAGAGTGGTTGTTATTTGTGATACTTAAGCTGGCATGGATGAAGTAAGAATCAATTCAAACTTTCGTGCCCATTTGAAGTGAAACCCCATGGTTTTCGCGCACTTGGCTTTTTAAACTTATTTTAATTTTCTTGCAATCTTGGTTTCAATTATAGGCAGATATCTACTATATATTTGAAAGAGTCTGTCTGTCTGTGAGTGTCTGTCTATCCCGTTTGTCTGTCTGTCTGTTCGAGAGCTCCTCCTAAACAGTTAAGAGCTAGGACCGCCAAATTTGGTAGGCTGCTTCCTCTTATCAGAACTTAAAGCAAGGTCAGGGTTTGGTTGTCCCAGGACAATGGGATGTGCCTGAAATGTGATTGTTTCTCGTTAAACAGAAAGTGAAGGCTTTGCAAACAGGGATAGTTATATTGTATAATGACCACAGGGAGGCAGCAAGGGTACAGAGATGGGAATTGGGACAGCTTTAACCCCACTGGGACAGCAAGGGGCAGTGGTGGAGAAGGGACAGCTATCTACTATATATTTAAGAGAGTTTGTCTCTTTGGCTACATCTAGACTACAAGCCTCTTTCGAAAGAAAATGTCTAGACTACAAGTAGATTTTTCAAAAAAGCGAGCCGCTTTTTCAAAAGACATTCTAG